GAATATTATTTATGATGTTATACTTATTATTGTTACAGTTAAATTTCAGGTGAAATTCGTGTGGACTGAGCGAGACTTCAGGCAGAAACAAATTAAGTGGGCGTGTCTGACGTTTTTAGCCTTTTTTAAAAGTGTAAATTAGAACGAATAAACATGTGATTAAGAAGTGAAGGTAAGAAAACGACAATGAAAGGCTTCCCGGAAAGAATGAAGAGAAGACACGCATAGTTGCTATCAACTGACGATTGAATAGATCGTTGCAGGTTCGAAAATCGCAAGAACTAATTCTAAATATCAACCAGAAGGAATCAAAACACCACCACCAAATGTCTTGTTGGAAGAACCAAAGCATCGCAGCTTTGGATCTGTTCATTGTTGAATGGGTTAACGCACATCGAAGAAAATATTGGTGTTTATAACTGTAATATACTATACAATGTTAACTTTCAATGCACATGTTTTAGTTGCTTGTTCGTAATTTATCGGTTTTGTAGCAAGTCATCAAAACACGTACGCAGAGTGGTATGTATATAAAACATGGTTCGTAAGCAATTTCTTGTTGAGAGATTTACGGTAGTCTTCACAAAAAAAATAATTTTGAAAGATAAAATATATATATATATAGATAAAGTGGAGCAAAGAAAAAAATTAGCAGGACCCAGATAAAAAATTAACTAAATTTAACAACGCTTCGGACTTATCGTATAAAACAATTAGCCTATTTATAAATTACGTAATATACCATTTTTTGAAGACTTAGAAAAATATATTATTTTTATGTGTTGCAACCCGCTAAGTTTAAGACATATTAAAATAATCTCCAACTACAAATAGTAGTAGTAGTATTATATTACTTGCGATAAAGTTGCACTTTCGTAGATCAGAAATCAAAATCAAAAACACAATTACCGTTCTGTGTCAAGAGTAACAAATATTTTATTTCTTGTTTTTTAAGTTCATACGTCATGCTGTGTTGCAGCCTAAAGAGCGCGTAATTCTTCTCGTGATTCATGGCAAGCGCACGTTTTACTGACGTCACGTCACGACAGTTCAAATTGCAACGTTAAACACCCCTTATGTGACTTCATTTTAGTGTTTTCTGACTGACAGACAACACACTACTGTATAGTGGTACAAATGGTTAAAATAGGCGACCCCTCCAGCGTATATAACTTTCGTTTTATTTTTATGATGATATTGTAATTGTTAACTCAATCGATTTCATGCACTTCTAAATTTCACACAGCTTCCCATGGAGACAACTGGTATCCAACAAAAGCTTCCTGGTTGTGCTCTGAAAATTTTGATCGTACAGGTCAAAAGGTTCGTCCGATAGACAATTCTTTGCCCACCGTATTTTCATTTCCTGAGCACCTGCAAAAGATATACAATCATCATGACTTGGAAGTTTTCTAATTTTTCAAATATTTCTTTGGACCGTTAAAGTTTCTATTCTACGAAAACTTCTGTTGATGTAGTAGTTTTACTTGAAATCGTTATTAAATAGTTTAATTGTTGAAGTCTTTTGCTAAATTTCGTTGTAACAAAACTAAGTAAATAATAAATTGATATCACACACACAAGCCTCTAAGTACTGCCAAGAAACAAATCAACAGAAAATTGTTAGTCTATCTGATAATAATCTATTCTGTATGTGATTAAAAACACAATCGCTGTGAAATCAGTATATAAGCCAAAGTAATTGTTCTCGTTACTACGACTACATAGAAAGACTGTCTTCTTGAGTGGCACTATAGCATTTCTGTATAAGTTAAGGGTGAACAAGAAATATGATAATTACAGTAGTCAAGCAAGAAAAGGTTTTCCATGTAATAAATAATTTATTTAAAAAAAAGAAGAAAAAATATAAATAGCTTTAATCCTCATCATTGCACCTGGATCCCAGCAAAAAATAGTAAGCCCTGGATTGAAATAAAAAACCCAACTGCATTACAACTTTTATTAGGGTTAGCATGCAATGTGACCAACATAGAAAATATACGTATTCTAGAGGAAGTATGTTGACAAATCAAGAAATCACAAAATTACATTGTTCCTCAGTATATAAATAAGTAGTATTAAACTATTCCTTATACAATATTTTGTATTAAAAAAAAAACGCGTAAGTTTTATTATACTTCTATATTCAAGTCATTATCCACCAATATGTGATGAGATTACCATAACACTGCAAAATTCAACTCAAAATGTACATTGCGGGTCCAACCAGACCCCAACACAAATGTATCTTTATAGTAGGTTATGGATTGACAATACAATAAGCAGGTTAATTACAACAATGTTCAAAGAAGGTTTCTATAAAATAGGGCATTATAAGCAGTCATCCAGAGAACACTTGTTGAGGAATGAGATGTACATACATACATACTTACCACAATGATGTTATAAACAAACAGATGAGATGATACTGTACTACTTTGATGGATTATCCTCTACAACAGCCTATATTGTGAAACAAACGTTTAGAAATTTGTTTTGTATGGCATAGGGCGAACTGCATGTATAGTGATGGTCAATGATGGAATGGGGTCTGCATTGATCCCAGAGAAGTATTAGATTATAGCTACATACTTTATCTACCTGTTTTAAAAAATAGTGTAATATTGATCCAGGGTTTCTACTTGACAATTACACGAATGGATATAAATTTGTAATGATTACCTTTAAAGATATACAACCAAGAGTCGTTGGGTCCATGAGGACCCCAGGTGTGCTGATGAGGGTTAATAAATTACTGATTCAATTATATGTTGATTTATTTGCTATTTGCCAGAACGAGGTCATCGGTACTAAAGAACATCAATTCAAGCACACTTAATGTTGGTTCCAGATGCAGTTAACTCAAGTACAACATTTGTATGGAGCAATGCTAAATATTATGTCCTTCTAGATCATAACTACAGTACCATGTGATTGATAGTCCAACAACTATAAGAAAACAAAATAAAAATGGACAAACAGTTGATCATTTGAAACAGCTAGGAAAAAATTAAACTTTTCAAAACAAAATAACAAGCATTTTGAACCGTTATTTCATTAGAGGTGATTGTGCAAGCTCTGTGTGGAATTCTAACAACGGACCAAGGGCTGGTCCTGTGTAGTTTCACTGGTAATGTCACATTTTTTTTTGTTAAATAAGTAAAGAAGAATTGATTTGCCACTGCAAACATATTATCTGCTTACATTGTTAGATACAGTAACTTAAGGCCTAATAGCAGTAACGTTAATTAAGGTGATTGTGCAAGCTGAATAAAAAAAAAAAATGGATATCCACCAACAGTTCTTATATGCTGGAAAGCATCTTTTTTTTGATACCACTGAAAATATATTGATTTGGAAAGCATCGTCTCCACTTTTGCACTCTTTGGCTCTGACACTGCAGTTTTGCTCCATCGGAGCTTATAAAAAGTAAAACGTACTTTCAATTTTGTTCTACTACATTTGTAATTCAAGTGATATCAAAACATTAATGGGGCACCAGGCTTTATACAACAGATATTTAATTAAAGCATTACTACAAGAGGAAAAGAAGAAACCAGTAAAGTTATTTGTGCTTTAATGCAATATGAAATGGCCATAAAAAATGTGTGAAGTCGAATGGAAAGAAATTCCCAAGCTAAGTTGATATTGGTGCAAATACAGAAGACTATTCAACTCCTCTTTACAGCAAGGTATTGGTGTTTATGGTGATTTCTTTAAACAGCAACCGAAAGGTGCCTATTGGCTGCTTCTTTATTAATGTCATGACAGAACAATATTGAGTAAACTTTGTGGGAATATGTCTAAAAAACTGTCAGATGTTGAAATTACAACTGTGTCACTTGTTTGTGATGGTGCTAGCATGTTGCCAGAAAACTTGTAGCCATGGTTTTTACAAGCTAGCATTAAAAATGCAATATTTATATCATACTTGACATATGCCACATGCTAAATTTCATCTGACACGCTTTAATATAAGTTACAGAGAATGCTGCAATGAATTTTAATATAAAAAGCATTAGTTTATATAGTGTCTATAATGTCTGATCAAAGAAGATTACCAACATAGATAGAAATTAACCACTAAATAATGCAGCTAGAAGTACGTAATGTGATAAAACAAAAACTCACCAATTGGGTACGCTTACTGAAATTTTTAACCATAATCTTAATATGAGGTTTGGCCAACATAAGAGTTCTAGGCTGGTCCTAAATCCACATCCTAGGCTAACAAAGCAAATACAAAATAACCCTCATACTAAAATATATAATAGATGCAAAATAATATAGACTTGTACATAAAACAATTAGTTACTTATATATTTGAAGCAACACTGTGAATTAGAGAACACAGAATATAGCTTTAGTTACATAACACACAAAACTAGCTGACTGCTTCATGCAACATCATTGATTCTCTGTCTTTTAACAAATGGATAAAATGGTTTTTAAATAAAAAAAATTAAAACTATTTGATAAAGTTAAAAATAAACTATCTGAAAAAGAACTTAAATCAGTTGTGTTGAATGAGTAAAAGAAAGATATACACACACAATCAGCAGGCAAACAATATGGGAACTGAAAACTGACCAGATTTCTTTAGCAAGTCCTAGGATCTTCAAGTAAGAAACCAACCTGGTAGGTGCCAAAACTACTCTCACAGTACAGTCTCTCTGTGGCTAAACAACAGTATTAGTCCCCTGGTGGCTCAATGGTGCAGTAGAGGATTTATAATGCTAAGATTTGTAGTTCAATCCCTGTGGTGGGCACAACACAAAAACCTGGCTTGCAATTCATTAGTTCTTCTGAATAATGATTAGGATAATTGAAGAAAATAATTATATATGGTGTTAAAATATCATTACCCAAATTTTGGTGTGTTGACATAAAATTACACTTCCACCCAAATTAAACCCATTCACATCATAACAGCTCCCAGACAATCTACTTTAAGTACAAATAGTGTATCAACCAGTACTTTCTGTTGTATCCCAGCCAGCCTAAAGAGCACTCGATATAGTAGATGTGGTGTGGTTGACATATTATACACCGTACATTCACCTCGAACTTATTATTGTTAACAACAAAGTGTAGCAATTTGTTATAGCTGGAATGAAAGAAACAAAAATTGGCTTGAAGATAAATCTTCCCTCCCCCCCCTCCCAAAACACACACAGTATAGAAAAATACAATAATCCCATGAAACAGTAGATAGCCTCCTTCATTGAATCCTGCTACAGAAAGTAACACCTAGGGTTGAATTAGCACACAATCTTGATTGGATTTATTATGCTTCAAATTAAAACCATAAAAATTTAAAAAGTATGATGTGAAATATTAATAATAGAAGGGCCTAAATGTAGTACTTGCTTATCACAAGAGTCTTTAGAGTGTATGACGTTCATGCTGAATTAACACATTTGTGTACTTCCTTCTTAACTATTACAATTTTGTGTGGACTTCAAAGTCAGTAAAGTATTATGGATTATTTTTCAGATAGTATATATGTGAATTATTTCTCGTTTTAGTAGAAGTTAAATTCAGTGAGTACTATTCTAGAAGACCACATTTCTGAGTAAAAAGTTTCATATAGATGAGTGACACTTCACATGTTTGGGATAAATGAATTCTTATGGTTAAGGAGAAATGAACTTTTATTCTGTTACGCTTTTTTATGTCGTTTTATAGATTACTAATTTATATAATTAATCACCAAAGTTATATTTGCTTACCTGCAAGTCAGTTTAAAACCTCCTTAGTAATCAGAGTTGATAAATGCTCAGAACACGTGACAACTTTTTCCGAATGAACAACCTAATACTCAAGTGCAAGATGCTCGATAAATTCGCATCTGGCCGTTTATTAACAGAAACACAGTAAACACAGATTCTGGTTTATTTTTTTTATTGTTAAGGTAAATGAATGATAAGACATGAAGACAACAACAAGGAAGTACACAGGCAAGTTGTCATATCTGCGTATGGAGGTACGCTACGCACAGACTTATCTTGAATCTGGCCTGAAAAAACCCATACTTACCTCTTTCTACTTCACTTTAGCACATCCACAATTCTATTGTTCATGTACAATTTACCACGTACCAAGTTTATCCCTTAGTTAAAAAACAAAATGAATGGCTACTAGACATACATTTACTCCTAAAGGTAACATCACACGTCATGTAAACAAAACTTAACATCAAGATTACAAGTTCTTAGATTTCTCTTGTATCATGTCCATAAAATGCATGATTTGTAATTATTTGCTTAATTTTTCAGTTACGTTAAAATAAGTACAGCTCGATAAAAACACTTTTTCAATTCAACAAACCAAGACTTTTTTTTTTATAAACTTCATTAAGCATTACTAGTTCCAATGATAGATCAACCAGAAAATCTTCATTAAAGGCATTGATACTATTCATGTTACTCGTACATGCTGTCACAAGAAAACAGTTATACATTACAAATAAAATTATCAGAACAAGTAAGTAGTATCATAAGATGTGATGTTTTTCATCAGGTATTAATGACTACCTACATTGTCTACATCTAGCAAACACGTCACTCAATAAAGACTGTCATGCAACACATTAAGAACATGAATAAATGTTGTACTAGATAACCATATCATCTCTACATTCATCACAGTAGAAAAAACATGATAAATTGTTACATGAAAACAAAACAGGTTGGTATTTTCATAAATGATCTGACTACACTATAAATAACTTATCTAAATGTTATTAACAATAAAGTCAAGCCTAGAGAGTGACAACTTTCCTGAATATTTACATACGTCGTGATACACAGAAATATCATAATTATATGCCCATGGTGTACTTCCTTGTATAACATACACAATTTATAATGAACAGTAACATGCAATAGGATTAAATCCTTCCTATTTTTCTTAAGTTCTGCTTCTATCTCTGGAATTAGAATTAATATTTATGTTAAGAATTTTAGATCTAAGGCAAAGATTTATTCATATAATATCCATTTTTCTTTAACATAAATATTACTACATTTAAAAGGAACTGTGTGTACATCACACAATGTACATTGCATCAACGAGTTTCTACGGACCATTCGCTACAGTTAGGAAAAAGTTTGTAGCACAGTCAATACATATACGGGAAAATCCAAAAACGACTTCGCAATAATAAAGAGGTGATCACACATTTTACAATTTTTAACTTCCATAAATTACCCTAGGTAACACTGCAGTTGCCTCACATAAATGATTCTCTTATTAGTGACTTACGAATTTCCTCATAAAAACAACAAATGCATCCTTTCTTATACTGTAACAATTAACAGCATCTTACGAACAATTAAAACAAGAGAAATGTAAAACTATTGTTTTAGTGTAAATCATAGCTTCTTTCAGATTTCTTATTTAGTAAAAGCAAGTCGGGAAGATGAGTCAAGACACGAATTTTCTTTTACTGAAACCGTCTGAAAGAAGACCACCTTAGATATTTCTTATGTAATAGGATAAAACACAAAATGCTGTTGTCTTCATATGTGATCATCTGGATTCAAAGCCTGGCTCAGAGTGGGGAGTGTTGAGACTTAAGTTCACTATGGTGCCCATTCCTGAGCTAGGCCTGTTATCCTTCAGTGTTCGCCCTTGACAGTAACGGAAACTGAAGCCCCCGGCTTGACGTTACTGCCGAGGCCATTGCTTGTCGGGGAGCATGCCAGCTTGGGTGCAGTGCCCTGGACGTTTGAAATATGCCTCCTAAAAATAAAAATCATTTAGTGCCAGATATTCTCAAACTTTAAATAACTGATGGAGGATTTTAAAATCCGTATAAACACTAAACAAATCTGCAGTCTTACTTATCATTTGACAACTTCTTTCAAGATCATAAAACAAACTATTTCTTCCCTATTATGCACCTAACGTTACAAATAACATGTTCATTTTAATAATCTCTTTGCACTACTGCAACAAAATATAATAAGTAAAACTACTTTCAGCTTTACTTTTTTTCCATGTTATTTATAATGTAGTAGAATTGAAGCATTTTATTCTTCACATCAAGATTTTCTCACCACATTAGAACCTTTATTTTATTTTAAGGATAGGTTTTTACACACTAAGTTAATTTTTTTCATAAATACAACACAATAATGCTTCTTGAGGAGCATTCACTAAAACGCATACTGAAACTGACAGTAGAAAGCTTCAAAGGCAAAACATTGAGTGTTTAGTTAAATAAAAACAACATTTTGGTGTTATAAGGTCATTTACTTCTAGTATTAATAGATCATCAAGAATTGTTATTTTTTTCACTAAAAGTTTGTATTTCAATTTTTATCAGTCATTTTCTCTTCCTTAACACTAACTGTAGCTAAATCACTAGTGTAAAGTAAAATGAAATTTTGAAAGTTATGAAATAGAGTTAAAAATACCCTTTTTCTTCTTTGCATCTATCATTTTGTAAAATTTCAATTTTTCTTCTATTCACAATTTCAAGTGTTTATTGTCTGGCTTGTTTATTAATTCCCAAAAAGCAACACATAAGCAGATTCTACTAAGCAGAAGTACTGAGTGTCTTGTGTGAAATTCAGCACTTGGAGAGACATACTGAGTTAGTTCAAGCTTTATTCCCCTGAGTGTGTTGTTGCAACAACATTAATGTACATTTCAGATATGCATTTTATAACATAAATAACATATAAAACAGAATGTCCAAAAACAGCTGTATAGAAAACAACAACAAATAAAAGACAATTAATGCTGTAAGCATCTTCCATTGGTTATAAATATACATTAAATGAGAACACATGATTCTGAAAACTGCCTTTAAAGTTAAGGATAAATGGTAGGGGCTTCTGTTATGAGTTGCAAAAATTTACTGATATTTCACAACAAGTAAAAAAGTTTAACCTCGTCATTATTTAACGATTGTGATTACATTGTACATGCCATACTACTAAAATTGTACAAACTAAGAAGAGAGAATTGAGAGGAATGCATATCAAGTCACAACGTAAGTACAGATTGAAGATGTTTAAAATTTTCTCGACACACACACACACACACACACACACACACACATATGTATATATTGATGAATAAAATTAAGTAAATTTTGAATGCATATATTCATGACATGCACAGATTTTACCGCCATCACAACAGCACAAATTGCATCATTAAATGTCCTTTACGTGACATCATTTTAGTGTCTGATGACTGACTGACTGGCAACAATACATTACTGTATAGTGATGCAAGTGATTAAAACGCGTACTGATGATAAATTTAAGTAAATTTTGAATGCATCTCTGTAAAACATCATGACATACACAAAAGAGCCAGGCCCATGTAAGAAGGGTTAAATATTATAGAGGCATATGAATTCAATTATTGTGGGATATTTTTAAAAATTTGACTGCAAATTACCACCCAAACAATATAATTATTAGTCAAGAATCATTTACTGAAATTAGTCTGTAGTATAATTTGAGTGATGATCTAGTGAAAAAGGATGTTACTTTTAAAAGCTGAGTAGTGAAATGTCAAGAAAACCCAGAAGTGTAAAGAGAAAGTGAAGACAATAAGCCATAAGACTAATTTAATAACTTTTTTTAAGATAATATGAAAGATCTTGAAACATATCACACGTCCAGAACTTCCTGTAACTAACTGACTTTGGGAATCTTTAACTAGTGTGGTGCAAAGTTAAATTTAATCCTCTCAAACAGAAACAATGCAAGTTGTCCAAGAATTATCCCTTCTATTAAAAATCTTATGATCTAGTTTCTAGTTTTTCACTTTAGCAGAAAAATATGTAATACTGGTAACTTTTAGCTTACATTAAGCTAGTACGAGTAGTCTTTGATTTTATCATCACACATTAACACTATCTGCCTGGGCATCATTTACTGTGCATGTCACGAGGTTTTAGTGGCTTACATTCAAAATTTTATAAAACTACCTTTTGTTTATGTTATACCAATTAGTATATCATAAAATCATAGCTAATAATCCATATCTTAATAGTTTTAAGTTTATAAAGCAACATCTAAAAATATCCTGAATTTCCCCTTGTGTGAAAAAAGGTGACAAGTTTTCTGTAGGCATCCCATCTTCTCTATTTTATTCACCACCCCTCCAATAAGTAAAAAAGTCAATGTAATTTATCACTATAAAATCTTCGTTGCTGGGACAAACCATAATTTTTAAAGCTTTCAATTTTGTTTGGTTATAGAGCCATCAAATAGAAAATCACACCCCTCTTGTCACACCTATCTGTCACATCCTCTTACTTTTAATAATTATACATTATCTGTAACCAATAGACAGCCATGGTTTTCATCTATCGAATGACATCTTATATTATGTTGTTTTCTGAATATAGAATTGTCAATTTCTCTTTCAGTACAAACTTTGTTCCCACGGGAAAGATAATGACTAGCTTGGATGAATTTGTAACGGCTCTTGTCACATAGTTAGAAAGCCAGATAACCCTTTCTATATGGGTCACAGGTAAAAGGCCATGTCATCTCATTTGTTGACTCGCATTCAAAATTCTATTGAACTACTATTTCATGAATTTATATCAATAAGTTTGTATCAAACTGTAGATTATAATTCAAATGTTAGTACTATGCATTACTCAATTTCTTAATTTAAAAGTAAATATTAAAAATCACAGATAAACATCAATTTTTGTGTAACACGTGGTATGTTAAATGCAGCACTGGTTCAAATTAGATGTTTGTGATGTCAAAATACTAAGTTTATAGTTTCATACAAATAAGAAACTTAAATTACAGATATTGATAAGCTAGAATATAAAATAAGTTCTTATCTTTTCTATTTGCTAAGATACAGCTCACGTAATAAATCAAACATAGTGACACCCCACTCACCTCCTTCCAATTTTAGAAAAACTCCCTTATAAACACTTACTTCTATATATGACATGAATAACCAATCAGAAGTTCAGAATGCCCCCTAGTGGTTTTCTAAGCCTTTCTAACATACCTAATGTCATTTCTTTCTTTTAAGTCAAGATTTCAATGAGGTAGGTTGTGTCTTTAGTCTGCTCTAAATTTCATCTTTTTTTA